GGGGAGAGGGAGGGGAGAGGGAAGGAGGAGGAGAGAAGAGAGGGAGGGAAGGAGAAAGAGAGAGGGAGGGGGAGGGAGAGGAGAGTGGGAGAAGAGGGATGAAAGAGATGGAGGGGAGAGGGAACAAGGAGAAAAGAGAGACAGAGACAGAGACAGAGACAGGAAGGGAGGGAGGGAGGAGATAGAGGCCGAGGGGAGATTGGCGGAAGAGGGATGAGAGAGATAGAGACAGAGGGGTTAGGGTTAGGGGAGAGGGGGGGAGAGGGGAGGGGGAAGAGGGAGGAGACAGAGAAGGAAGGGAGAGGACGGAGAGAGGGAGGGAGAGGGGGGTTATCTTTATACACTTCTGTGTCACCGAACTAGGGATTCCTTAACTCTCTACCTGCAAGTCACCCAGAAGTCTCTCAGTGCCAGAACTACTTTCGCTCACCCTTCAATAACCCAGACGCTCCCTCCATGTTAGCACCTTTGGCTCTCTCTCTCTCTCTCTCTCTCTCTCTCTCTCTCTCTCTCTCTCTCTCTCTCTGGTGGTCTTAACATATATATATCCTGGTTGTACAGTTTTTAATTGTTATCTGTTTTAATTTGTTTTATATTGTTATTTGCATATGTCTTTTGGTGTTGTTTAGTTGTATGTTGCGAAAGAGCACCTTATTTCGTTGTTCTCAGGTTCCTGAGCACAATGACAATAAATTTATCTATCTATCTATCTCCACTTTCCCTGCCACTGGGTTGAGCAGAAGGCGGGCAGGCGACGCGCAATTGAGCCACCCAGCCTGCCTGCCTGCCTGCCTTCGGAACCTTCCCAGGCGCAGCATCAACCATTGCTCGGTTGCTCAGCTCCGCAGCCCCATGTTCATCAGGCAGGCTCCAGACGCTTTATGATTGATAACACCGCGCCTCGCCGAGCCATCAATTTTAAACCCAACCCCACCCCAAATCCACGCCTGCCTGCCTGCCTGCTTGCCTTTTCCCGAGCCAGCACGGAGCCCGTTCCCGTCTCCCCGTCTCTCTCTCTCTCTCTCTCAAATGGATGCCCTTCCCCGGCTCATAATCCACACGGCTTGGTTAGATAGGCAGGTCCGTTACTCAGCCGGCGTGACTCGGAGTCTCTCCTTACTGACATGTTTATGGGAGATTTAGGTGGAGAATTAAAAACTGGCGGGAAAAGTCAGCTCCCGGGAAAAGGGAGGGCGGGGGCAAAGAAAAAGAGCGGAGAGGTTCCGGGACAGAATTAGCGATCCCCTTCTCCAAATCTGCCTCATTCCTGGCACTGGCTAAGGTCAATAAAGGAAAAACCATACATAAATAGAGCTTTGCTCATGACCTTTTCGGCATGCGTCAGACAATGTAACCGCATTTTCAAACAGAGAAGAGAGAAAAATATTTATGAAGACAGTTGAATAGTAATAATAATAATAATAACCAGAAAAGTAAACTCGGACCCCTCCATTTCAGTTCTGTGATATAATTCAGCCAAATGTTTCGTCTACAGTCAACATCCAAAAGCAATTAAACTACCCTCATTAAAGTTATTTATTGAACTGCCTGCTCTAGATAGAAGGTGGAGGAAAAACGAGAAGAGGGGGGTGGATATTGGGCTAAACTAGCTCCATTTCCCAGCAGGAGAAGGAATAAACAGATACTTAAAAATTAATTAGAATTTAAACTAAGAATAAAATAAAAGGAGAAGGCTGCTGGGGAAAGGGAGAGGCATGTACCAAAGAAGAAGAAGAAGAAGAAATGAAAACATAAACCATAAAATATACTTGGGCCCGAAATTCTTAAAAGAGCCATCAGATCCAAAAGGATTTAAACTAAAGTTGTTTGGTGGATTTTACTGGTGAATTTGTCCTGTTATTTCTGGCAGGCAGGCCAGCTTGATACTGCAATCCCCAATCACCACTCCAAAACTATTCATGTTTCAGCTAAGGCTATTCAATCTGGGTTGCTCAAATCCAGTCAACTACTGCTAGATGGTAGCAAAGAGATATATAGCGACTTATATCTCTCTGCTGACATCTAGTGGTGCTCTGGCTTCTTGCCACCCAGATCAGGTAGCCCAGCTGAAGCCCCATTTGGTTCACTGAGGTCTACAATAAAAGTTTGCTGACCTAAGAATGCTGACCTAAGAAGAATCTAATTGCAAAATCTTCCCTTATCACTGAATATTTTAAATCAATTAAGGAAAGTACAAGTTGCTTCTTTTTGTGTAGTTTACAACTCTACACTTGTTTGGTGGGGGCGGAGGATATTGTACCCATTGTTTCTTTGGGCAACAATATGCTAAGACAGGATCACATCAGGGAAAGGTTTTTAAAAAAGCAAAGACTGGTGGTGGGGACCCTCTTTGTTAACCACTGAACTCTCAAAATGCAAGTAGAATTTTAAGTAGCCCAAAGAAATGAGCAACATATTGAAGACAGAGCAAGCATTTAGTCATATGTATCTCTGTGGCCCTTTCCTCTCTCTGAGTTGTCCTAGCTTGCCTTGGTGCATCGTAGGGCTTTATGTGTGTGGATGCCTTCTAGCGACTGCCTGTTTTCTTGGCAACTTTTTGGAAATTGTTTCCATTGCCTGCTTCCTAGGGCTGAGGCAGAAGGCTGGCCTAAGGTCATTCAGCTTACTTTGTGGCTAAGACAGGACTAGAAATCACAATCTCCCAGTTTGTAGCTTGGTGCCTTAACTACTCCACCAAACAGGCTCTCCTATAATAGGGCTACCAATCTGGAAAACCACTAGACAGCAGCAAAGAATGAGAATGCCACTTTGGCTGCCATCTGCTGGTCATCTGGAGTTGTGCACCCAAGATAGGGTAGCTCCAGTGGATGGTGGTAGGCTAGCATGAAATCACTGCATCAAAGAAAGCAGGACTACTTCCAAAGGACTGAATTGTCCATTTCTCTAATCAAAGTATCTGATGTCTAAATTTAAATGGGAATTGGGTGAGGGGGACACTAGCCTTCCAAAATCTGCAAGATTGTTCCCTGACTTTAGACCAGGGCTATAAAGATTTGGAGTCTATCAATATCAGAAAGAAGACCAGTTTCCTAATCGTCTTGCTAGATACCCTTCTTGGACTGACTGACTCTCATCGTATGTCATTTCTTCATTAAAAATTTAGGCATCTACTCACTGTATGTCTGTAGCCATTTTCCTCAATTGATGAACTAATCACAGTTTCTTACTGAATCAGTTCATCATTGAACTAGCAGTCATCAGCCATAGCCATCAATCTGGTGCAGAGAAATTACTGCAGACGTGTCTAGCTCTGTCCCAATGACTCTATGTTGTGATGAAAAATTTCAAAGCACTGTGGCTGAGAAAAGTGAATGTTCAATTTTTGACCTGTGTTGTTCACTCAGAACCACAACTTGATGTTGCCATTTTTAAGTTGACATTGAATACCATAGTATCAGCTTAAAGCATTAAATTAATATCACAAGCTACTCTTTTCATTTCCAGAAAGTTGCTTTCATTGGATAAGCTCTGCTCACTGGGGTAAAAATTAAAAAAAAACATATTTCTAATCATTTCTTATTCTTTACAGGGATCTATGTATCAAATTGGGAGGTTTTCTTCAAGGTAATTTCCATAGCGGAGTACATAAGCATAACAAATATTTCTTCCTGTAAATTGGAAAGAAGAGACAGTGAGATTATTTATGTGACTGCCTCTACAAGTCGTCTTCTTAGAATCTTCACAGTGAGACTGTAATAACCATGAATAACAGATGATTCACCTGAAACAGATCCCAGAAGAAAAGTCTTACTCATGACAGCCAAAGATTCAAAGACAAGACAGTCACCCAATATTTTATTGAGCTGGGGGGTGGAGATCAGTTTTGTTGAAGAAATCTTCAATTCTTTGAGAAGAGGAACTACAGTGTTCCTAGGTGCCTTATTGGTTGGGTGAAGAGGGGGATAAATTTAGTTCAATCTCCCCATTTTTTGAACTATGGCCAAAGACCACACTAAAGATTTATATATTCTTACAATATCACCTGGACATTTCTGCACCATTATAAAACTTGTATTCAGCACTGATGCATAGCTGGGTGACATAACACACTCCACCCTCCTAGTATGGAAATGGTCTAAGGTTGCCTGCCTCAAAAGAGGGGAAATAATGCCAAGGATTTGGGGCATCTGAGATCTAGAGAAAAAGAGGTGGGGAAGGATAATGGGGTGTGGGTTATCAGGCAGCATGTACCTCTAATTCAGATTATTTTCCCAGCCTCTATGCTACTTTGGTGGATTAGAACCTATTTCACAGACCATTTTGCTTGAGATGTCAAATTTTGGAGAGAAACAGATTAAGCACCGGGTCACAATGACTTTTCCCTTTGATATTTGCATTGGTTTTTTTTCTCTCTTTTATATAGAGAGCCAATGAGCAATCAGAAAAGTTCAGAAAAGAGCAACTAAGATAATCAAAGGCCTGGAGACTAAAACATATGAAGAACAGCTGCAGGGTTTGGGTTTGATTAGACTAAAGAAAAAAGAATTAGGGGTGACATGATAGCAGTGTTCCAGTATTTGAGGGGCTGCCACAAAGGGGTCAAATGATTCTCCAAAGCACAAGACAGCAGGACAAGAAACAATGGATGGAAGCTAATCCAGGAGAGAAGCAACCTTGAATTAAGGAGAAACTTCCTAACAGTGAGGACAATTAACCAGTGGAACAGCTGCCCTTCAGAAATCATGAGCGCTTCATCACTGGATGATTTTAAGAAGAGTCTAGAGTCTAGACCAGGGATGTCAAACTCGATTTCATTGAGGGGCACTTCAGGGTTGTGTTTGACCTGGGGGGGTCGGGGGGGGGCATGGCCAGGGGGCATGGCCAGCATGATGTCATGTGTGTCAGGGAGCACCTCTGGTGGCCCGAGCACTCTGCCAGCAAAAACGGACTCCTGAGCTCCGTTTTCAGCTAGGATGGCCTACAACTCTCTGCCAATGAAAATGGAGCTTGGGAGGGCCACACACAGCCCTCACGAGCTCCATTTTCACTGGTAAGAGGCACTGTGGGCCAGTCCTTCGTTGTTTCCAGGGCAACCCTGTGGGCCGGATCTGGCCCCCAGGCCTTGAGTTTGACATCCCTGGTCTAGACAGTCACTTATCTAAAATGGTATAGGTTCTTCTGCTTGAGCAGGGGGCTGGACTAGAAGACCTCCAAGGTCCCTTTCAGCTTATTCTATTCTATTCTATTCTATTTTATTCTATTCTATTCTATTCTATTTCTATTCTAAAGTTAAAACACAAAGCACATAATGCAATGGGCTATAGTTTCATTAATATGTTGGCTGCCATCAATCTATCTTTATGGTACTTCAGAATCATTTTTTATTTTCACACTGCCAGGGTTCCCAAACTTGGCAACTTTAAGATTTGTGGACTTCAACTCCCAGAATTCTATGATGGCTGGAATTGAAGACTACAAGTCTTAAAGTTGCCAAGTTTGGAAACCTCTGCACTAAGCCCTCAGTAGCAATGGATTCCTAACCTGTTGATGGCATTCCATTGCCATAAAGTTTGGTGATTGTTCCAGGGTGTCATTTAATAACACTCATAATTAAAACATTATACTCAGAAGCCTTCAACAAATTATGTCTGAGGGAAAAAACCCTACGCTGTTTGAAGGATTTCACATTATGGGACATTAGCAGAACTTAATATTTCTTCAGTAAGTTTATTATATTGATTGGTCGTATTACTGCTACACTGGAAAGTCTTTAAACTTTTATACATTTGGCATCAGTGTATAACATAAATGAATAGTATTTATAGTATCCCATTAAATTGTTTATTACTTTCAAGTGTTATTTATAGAAAGACCACGATTTCTGTTTTCTAGTAGACAAAGCATATAAATGGATTATTTAATATAATAAATAGATAGAATGCTTTTGCATTTTTAGATAGGAAGAAGCAACGATTGTTTTGCCCTTGGACACTAAACACTGACTCTGCATCTTACAACCATCATCTTGGCTGATTCTGAATGTCCCATTCCCCACCTATTTGGCCAGTTTTTTTGGATCTTCCTCACCCAGTGAAAAATTTTTGAAAGCTTTTTACTTTCTTTTGATTGGGCCTAATATACATATTTCCCAGCGATGGATTTTTAATTCTTAATATTAAAACCATTCACATAATATGGTATGTTGGGAATCAGAACCTTTTGTAATCAGAACTCTCTGAAATAGTTCTGCCTGCAGACAGTCTTTTTCTTATGTAATATAGGAAGCTCACATACTGATGTGTTTTGCCCCGGAACAGAGGAACACTAAATTATTTCTTCATTATTTTTCTTTGCTTCCAGAATGGATACATTGGAGAAGAATCAGCATATAGGTGGGAGGTTCAAAAATTATCCACATGATGCTCAGAAAACAACTTGCACCTGATTATCAGCAAGACAAAGGAGATGGTGCTAGACTTCCGGAAGAAGAGAGAGGAACCCGCCCCACTTTAAATTGAGGGGGGCTGTGTGGAGAGTATCCTCCTTCAAATTCCTGGGAGTCCATCTTAGTGAAGATCTCACCTGGAAAAACAACACAATCCAGATGGCCAGGAAGGCCCAACAGAGACTCCACTTCCTCAAGGTCTTGTGGAAAAACAAGGTGGAACAACAACTGATGACCTCCTTTTACCAGTCCACAACAGAAAGTGTCCTCACTTACTGTATTACGACATGATATGCTGGCCTGACAGTCATGGATAGAAAGACATTACAGAGGGTGATGAGCACAGCCCAAAACATCATAGGCTGTCCCCTGACACCACTAGATGAAATCACTAGGGCACACTGCCTTAGAAGAGTGAGGAAAATCCTCAGGGATGACTCACATCCTGGTCAGCACTTCTTTACTCTCCTACCAACAGGTAGGAGATATAGAAGCAGAACCAGTTGTATAAACAGGCTGAAGAACAGCTTTTATCCATGGGCTGTCAGACTCCTGAATACAACAAAACATCTAACTTACGTAGTATGATAGACTTGCAGGGCCGGCGCAACATGTAACATGTTCACATTGGTGCAATATAATATATTGTAATGTAATGTTCATATACGTATGGAAGGTCGTGTATTTGTTAGTATGATCACTGGGCTAGGGATTTTCTTTTTTTCACTGTGAGTTATTGAGATGTGCTGGGGGGATGCACTAAGGGAGGCTCAGCCACACTCAATGTACACATGTTGTGCACTGGCAATAAAGGTTTGAATTTGAATACGTGTGGGTTTATGGAATGTATGATTTCTTTACTAACTATAGTCAGATGGTGCCTTGATTTGATCACTCAATGGATCAAAAAAGAGTGACCAAACTCACCCTGGAAATGTAGGAAACATGATTTGATGAAAACTGATGAAAAAGAACTCACGATGCAAATAACTGCTCATTATTTTTTCAATATATTGATTAGTACAAATTTGGATGACTTCTTCCTTCTCCTCCTTCACCACTTCCATTTCCTTCTTCTTCTCTTAATTATGTACATAATGCATCACAACTGCATAATATAATGGTTGTTAATGTATGCACAAATAGTTTACTAAGAAATGCTTAAGCAGGACCTAATTTAATTTCCATTCTTTACCACCAAGTATCTCATAATGGAGGCACAAGACATATCATAATGGAGCTAAAACATACAGGTAGTCATGCGAACTCCTACAGAACTTTGGCTTTAAAAAAGTGTAGTATTATTTTAATCAGATTGAATCAATAATTTTGTTGCCTTATGGAATTCCAGATATTTGTACCTGATCGAGGCAAAGTTGAAAGTCATTAATCTGGAGAAGACTTGTTATCCCATACGTATTTCTTTTACTAGCTGAAATCCATTAATAATCTAATCTTGAAGGGAATAGTAATAGTAATACTTTTAGAAGCACTTTGGTCTAGTGGTTAGAGCACCAGGCTAGAAACCTGGAGACTTGTGAATTCTAGTCCCACCTTAGGCATGGCACGGTGACTTTGGGCCAGTTGCTCTCTCTCAGCCTACAATAGCAAGCCAGTGGATCACAGCTTGTTGTAACCAATGGATCAACACTCAATCGATCCCAAAAATATAGTCTCTGCACTTGCAGGAAAATACTAGGAAAGAAAAAAAGTAATATTTTTATAATTAACTTTGGTAAGATTTCCTCTTGCAAGAAGAATTTTGGGGAAATTCCAGATGTTAGCCAGAATGAGATTGAAATATACTTTGTGCTATTTATGTACTTCCAAAAGCTTGAGGGGTGGGGCTAGAAAGGGGAACAGGAAGCTCCGCAATTCTAAACCTGTACAAGTAGGTTCAGTGGTAAATCCCAGGAGGTTATCTTATTTCAAAGGTAATAAGCTGCAGTTTTTGCCAACTTCAAAACTGAGGTCTTCATTTATTTCCCAAGCAGCAACTATTAAGTGTTGAAAATCCCAGCTTTAATCCTTTCCCATCCATCTCCAAGCAGGGTGGGGGGAAAAGTCCCATCTCTGAAACCCAGAGAATCCCTGCAACTCAGAGCAAGCACTACTGGGTCAGGTGGACCAATACTGTACTATATCAGCTTAATAGTATTTCCTGTATTAGAAGGAAGCCTGTCTTTTGTCCAGTGATTCAACCAGATTACATCTAAGTAAGTAATGTTGTTAATACTTCATAAGGATAGATTCAGACCAGGAGTATAACAAATTAAGTTATATTCTTAAATACAGATATAAGGGCTAAGCATCATTGATCTCTGTAGAGTTTATTTCTAAACAGTGTGGGGTTGTGCTGTTGAGGTTTTAACTTGAATAACATTCCTATGAGTAAAGTTCAAACTCCTGCAATGTATGGTGTAAAGCTTCTTTTAAAAAAAATGGGGGTAGGGGAAAGACCAAATATATATATTTTGAATACCCTACACTTAAAACAGAGTTGAGATTTGAGGAAATTTACCTATCAGATTATTGAAGGGTTCCCCCATACTCTGAAAAGCACCTTTAAATTTTGATGGCATGTTTTGTGCAATGTGGAAATCCTGAGAAATATAAAGGAACCAGAGAGGTTACTTTCTAACCAATGGAGTACCCATATTGAAAGTGAAGGTGAGCTGAAAAACAAGTCTAGCCATGGTTTCTAGAAAACAAATTTGGGCTTCCCCAGGACAGATTTAAATAAAAAGGTGAAATCTCCCTTGAATAAAGTTCAACTCCCAGTACTTCTTGGACTCAACGGGGTATTTTCATGGCATGGAAATTGTTGACCACTGGGTTTTCTACAGAATTTGCCTTCAACTTTAGACTGCAGCTATAGATTTTAGAATGGTATTACATTCAAAATGTATATCAAGGGAAAATATTTAGAAACAAAAGAATGAGTGAGAGAGAGAAAATGATAGTGTCATAGTAGGAACAAAAAAACAACAAAAATCAAAAAATGAATTAGTGACAATATGTTCTCTATGACTGCCAGTTTAGTCTAGAACAGGGTCCCCAAACTTGGCAACATTAGGACTTGTGGACTTCAACTTCCAGAATTCCTCAGCCTGCCATGCTGTCTGGGGAATTCTGGGAGTCCACAAGTCTTGAAGTTGTGAAGTTTGGAGACCTCTGGTCTAGAAGTTAAGGCATCAAGCTAAAACCCTAGGAAACTTGAGTTCTGGTCCTGCCTTAGGCACAAAGCCAGCCCTAGGAAGCAGGTAAAAGCAAGCCACCTCCAAAAATCTTGCCAAGAAAACTTCAAGGACTTGTTCAGGTAGTTCCTAGGAGTCAAAATGACACGAAGACACAGATATATAGCATTTCTCCCATCATGGTAACAACTTTTGCAAGCTGAGCTTGACTGCTGGTGATTTCACAAAAGCATCCATATAGTTCTTTGGGCAATATTTAGAAATGGTTTGTTCTTTTCTGGGTTCATTTAAACCTGTGAAGCTTAACACCCAGAGGATTCTTGATAGCCTCCCATCCAAGCATTAGAGGAGATAGACAACATTAATTTTAATAAATGAAATAAATTTACTAACTTCCTTGACGTTTCTGAGACAGCCAAAGTTAGATAGGTACTGTATTAAAATATGTGATGACAAGTTTAGACGGAACTTCTATAGATCAAAAATCATCAGGCAAGAAGGGTGTTTGGAGGCCCCTGCTCTATAGTGATAATATCTGGATATTTTACATTACAATTCTTCAATGGGCCAACAATTGTCAGGTCCTCCTGGGGGGGGAGGACTAAACGATTGTATGTCCGCTCAAAAGAAGATTTGAGAGGACAGTAGGAGAAATCTTCTCATCCATTTCCCTGCCATGTTTTCTGAAAGGAAACTAGAATGTTTCTTTGAAATCTGTGGGAAGGAATTATTTTTGAAACACTTAATATTGTATTGCAATGGAGTAGCCTCCCCCACCGACCCCTAAATTTTTAAACTTTGGAATCTAAAGTTTTAATTGAATTTTAAATGTAAGATCCTTGTTTACTGTTTTTAATATTGTATGATGCATTTTATTCAATATCTGTAAGCCACCTAGAGTCACTTTTAGCAAGATGGGTGGCATACAAGCTTGATAAATAAAATAATAAAAAACACAAAAAATCTTCATTGTGCCTCAGGACCTTAAACTTAACAGCAACTTTTCGACTGTCATCTTTTGATATGATTCTGCTTCATTTATCAACCAGTTCTGCCCCTTGGCAGAGAAATGATTTCCCATAATTCCTGTTCGAAAGTTACTTATATTAAAATGTTCTTAATCAATGCAGAGAGGTCCGCTACATCAGTTGTGAATGACTTGGCCCTAAAAATGAGGATGGGGTGCCTGTATCTTATGAATGGACAACTGTTAAATTTCTACTAAGTTAGCATTATGGAGAAACAGAGTCACCCATATAAGGTTACTGGGGGAACACACATTCCAATTCCACATGGCTTTTCTCAATTATTGCAAGGATTATCTTCTCCTGCTAAATTTCTTGACTGAAAACTTTACAAAGAAAGAGCTCCTGTCTTTTTATCCCCTAAAACCGGGATGGTAGGCATGGCGATCTCCTGAAGAATCTAAAAAATGGCCACTGTTCCCACCTTCTTCCTTCCAACAGACTGTTTCCCGTAACTTAGTACATTCTGGGCCATTTCCTGGAAAGCCATAAAACAAGGAACAAAAGCTAGGAGATATTTTTAAAATAAAAAAAGACATTTATCATGGAAAGAGTTCTCGGCTCATTCCAAAAGCCCACATTCTGGAAGATTGACTTAACTGAATGTTTACAATGCAGTGGGTGTGCATAATTCTCAATCGTACATTTAAAGGTAAAGGAAGCTGAAGTGAGCAGTGCTTCAGAAGACAAGAACAGATCTGAAACTCATTCTCTCTCTCTTTCTCTTTCTCTCTCTGCCTTTCTCTTTCTCTAGCTCTCCTCTGTATATGTGTAGGCACTGAAATTCCCAGCCCACATCTTGCAACAGCCTATGACATTTCCCCCCTCCCCCCAACCCTTTAACTTACCTGGGAAAGAGACCGCTAGGATTATATTATTTTCGAAAACAATCAGGATCGGGCATTTTTATATTATTTTACGTTTGAATTTAGCACCACATAACCAACTATATCTGCGTGGAGAAATCCTCTTCTCTTAAATGCCGCCCTCTACTTTCCATTAATCCGGGGAGACCCGTCAGATAGAATCCCCCCCTTTTGTGGGGGGGGAGAGAAC